CAGGTGATGGTGCCATGGTGGGGAATCTTAAACTGAGAGAAGCAAGGGCCACACACAGGTCCAGGCCAGCACAAGGCTTATGCAAGGGGGCAGAGATAGATGAAGTAAGAGCGTGAGACAGGCTGGCCTGTGGGCTACAACCCACTCAGAGGAATGCGCATTTGGTCCCTCAAGGCAGTGGGGAGTTGACAGCTATGGGCCGAGGGTAAGCAATGCTTGTAGTCTGCTGTGACTCTATGGTGCACACACACATCTCTCACATTCTATGTCTTAATATGGCAGAGAATTACATCTGCATATTTCTATGTGCACAGTTCTTGGGCTCAAAGCCATTATAAATTAGTTTATTAATACTTCTGACATCATAATACCAAGGTGAGCATTTGGGCTTTTCTCTAAATTCTCTGTAATCCCAATAGTGACTAAGAACCTTTTTAAGCTTTCACTAAAACTACGTTTAACTGTTCCCACTCATGTCAAGAAATATCTTATTATTAAAAGGTAACAGGCCGGGCTTGGTGGCTCATGCCTGTAATCCTAGCACTATGGGAGGCTGAGGCGGGTGGACTGCTCAAGGTCAGGAGTTTGAAACCAGCCTGAGCAAGAGTGAGACCCCGTCTCTACTATAAATAGAAAGAAATTAATTGGCCAACTAAAAATATATATAGAAAAAATTAGCCGGGCATGGTGGCGCATGCCTGTAGTCCCAGCTACTCGGGAGGCTGAGGCAGAAGGATTGCTTGAGCCCAGGAGTTTGAGGTTGCTGTGAGCTAGGCTGATGCCACGGCACTCACTCTAGCCTGGGCGACAAAGCGAGACTCTGTCTCAAAAAAAAACAACAAAAAAAACCAACAACAAATGGTAACAGGCTGAATATGAAATACAAGGTTGGAGTGTGTGGACTGCACCCTGATCAATCTGCTAAATCGCACTAAGGACACTAAGGGAAACAGTGAGCGCTGGCAATGATGCAGGCTATGCTGAGATGATGAACAGAATCAAAACAGCCCTTCCCTCAGGGCTTACAATCTCATGAATTTCATAAAGTATGCACCAAAGCTAAAATGGCAAATTAATAAAATAAGACCTACTCATATTAAATCTCACCTTAAAGTAATTTGCTGTCATCTGTGCTCAGCACTCTTTTCTGCCCTAGTCTACATGATTTTCTAGAAGCGTACCATCTTAAGAACATAAATATCTAATCTCTGATGTCAAATAAAAGCTTAATTTTGACTCTATTTCTCTTCTACATAGAAGTAAATCGAATATTGTTCCCAGTCAGCAAACTGGAGTCCTTCTCCCTGGGCCACACCTACCATGAGAAAAGGTGTGTTACACCATAAAATGATAATGTTTCAGACTTTGGTCGACGGTCCAACTCCAAGAACTTTTTTATAACACCTCCTCAAGCAACTAAGGTCACAGGAATGCAAAAACAAGACAGTTGGGTGGGTATGGATGGCAATGCAAAGTAGGAGGCAAATAACAAACATGTAATACTTGGAAACTCTTAGCATTATAAATCATATACACCAGTGATAATATGCTTTATCATGCTAGCTCTCACAAAAATGAATGAAGGGAAATAACTTATCATTTTAGCTGCTACCATAGAGATTTTATTGTTATTTCACAAAAACCCTTAAACTTGTATGAAAATATCCCAATACATTTTCAGAAGCTTAGATATAGAACTGTGTAAATATACACAGATGTACTTATTTAAGTCTAAGGACAGACTTATTTTTAAAGCACAGAATCAAATCCATGGTTAATGCTTATTTTCTTTGTATAGTCCTAATATAATTACTACTTACAGACAGGGCAACCACTGCAAGTTTATCACAATCAGGTGGGGTTTTTTTGGTTTTTTTTGAGGCAGAGTTTCACTCTGTTGCTCAGGCTAGAGTGCTGTGGTGTCAGACTAGCTCACAGTAACCTCAAACTCCTGGGCTCAAGCGAACCTCCTGCCTCAGCCTCCTGAGTCCCTGTAGGGACTACAGGCATATGTCACCATGCTTGGCTAATTTATATATATATGTGTGTGTGTGTGTGTGTGTGTGTGTGTGTGTATTTACGTTTTTAGTAGAGATGGGGTCTTGCTCTTGCTCAGGCTGGTCTGGAACTCCTGAGCTCAAACGATCTGCCTGCCTCAGCCTCCCAGAGTGCTAGGATTACAGGCATGAGCCACCATGCCTAGCCCACAATCAGGTTTTTAAACTTTGGCCTCACTCACAGCATTCTCTGATCTAGCCATGTGAGTCAATGACTGCTAAATGTAATCCTATATTTGCTCTCCTCTTCTGTAATTAAATCCTGATTTTTAGCTGAATATATGGCCATGAAATAAGGATTTTCTCAGGCTCTCTTGCAGCTAAGTAAGTGTGGCCATGTGACTAAATTTGGGCCAAGGAGATGGAAGCTATGCCCCTAGCAAAGAGACGTGCCCTCTCCTTCCCCTTTCCCTCTCCTGCTTGTTGGAATGTGACAGGTGACAGCAAAAGGAGTCAATTATCACTGAGTGGAAGGTGCCTGTGAAGGATGATGACATAAGAAGGATGAAGCCAGGTCCTTGATGATTGTGAAACTGCTGTATCAACCCAGGACGGCCTACCTGGACTTTTTCATAAGTTCTTTTGTTTAAACCACTGATACACTGGGTTTTCTGTCACTTGAAACAGTGTTGTCTAAACCTAATATACTATACTTCCAGATTATCCATTTTCAGGACTTTGGACTTTTGTGGATACAATTTCCTCTGCCTGAAACACTGTTACCACCTCCTGCTCCTTGTCTGCTTTCACCCTTCAAATCTGGGCTGAAATGTTACTTTCTCAGGTAGGTCTTATTTGAGTCCCTAGGTCTTGAACACACTATTTATTCTTTATACTTTCCCTTCGATAACACTCACCACATCTATAAATACTAGGTTAATATCTGTCTCTTCCACCATACTACATACTCTTTAAGAGCAAGTATCTGCTTTGTCTACTGTCATCCAAGTGACTGGCACTCAGTGTATGCCCAGTGAATATTTGCTCAGTGAACAAATGAATAATGTGAGTGATTTCTGGACCACACCTCAAGGATTTCTTGGTCTTATATTAAGGAACTCCCATAAACTCCACCTAAAGTTCAATTCCTGTCATACACTCTCACAATGTAAACACTGTTTCTCTCCATCTGCCTTTGGACAAATCTGAAATGTGCCAACTCTCTGAAAAATTCTACATAGCTCTACATGGCTCTTTCTAGTACCACTTCATATTTTCATAATACATATAGGTACTAGAGTGAAAGTATTATGTACTGTGTTTCCCCCAAAATAAGACAGGGTCTTATATTTATTTTTCTTCAAGAAGACACCTTAGGGCTTATTTTCAGGGGATGTGTTATTTTTTAAGTACGGTACAACAATCTACATTTATTCAAATATAGTTAAGTCGTCGTCTTCTGGAACATCACTATAACTCTCTAAACCCCGAATTCCATCCTGAATTTCTTACAACGCTATTTCCTTTAGAACCATTGGCCCCAATCTCTCATGTGAGGAGCAACAGAGAGCTCTCATGGGGCCGATGAGAAGGGCTGCCCGTCTTCTTTACCGCTCTGCTACAAAATGCATGGGTTGTGCAGATACCCTGCATAGACACGCCCATCACTAGGTCTTATTTTGGGGGTAGGGCTTATATTGCACAAATGCTTAGAAATCCTGCTAGGGCTTATTTTATGGGTAGGTCTTATTTTCGGGGAAACACGGTATACTCTTGGAATCTAAAAACATGGAGACCTTTCACTAAAATGACCCATATTTTTAAGGGCTAGGATGCCATAATGGTATTTTTTAAAGGAAAATGTAAAAAATATACAAACTACATTATCTGAATTCTGGCCACATACAAGAAAACATTCTCAAAATATTTTAAAAGCCTCATGTTGTAAAGTGAACAGAACCTTTTAGTAGCATTACAAATACCTGATGTTCTATTGCTCCATGTGCTTGCCCTTCACTGACACTGAAGATTCTACCTGGCTTACTTAGTTTCACAAACTAAGCACCTTTTTGTCATAACATCGTGGAGTTAAAGAAATAGGATCCCAAGAAGGAGGTAGTGGGATATCTAAAAGAAAAATCAAGAGATTTGAGTGATAGTCTCAGTTTTACCAAAGACTGATTCACTGGGTGACTCTGGATCAGTCTTCTTAACTCTAAAAGAAGTGTTCAGTACACATAATTCCTAAGACCCCTTCCAAGGAAAATACTTCATTGCCAAATCAATTTGCTCGTTAATGACTAGTAAAGATTATGGTGATTATGCACCAACTGAATAAGAAATATTTACAAGAAATCTGGTATATGCTAACAGTTTTAGATCCTATGAGGGTTTAAATGAGTCTAATATGTGGTTCTTTAAAGATCTAAAAACAAATGTGAATTTTGAAAAAGCTAGTTTTTGCGTGATGAGAATGGCTTTTAGAATGTGAGTCTTTCCAGTATATGTTATTATTGTCCTTCCACATTTATTAGGCTCCCACACTGGATTCGGAAGGTGCTCTGCAAAAACCTGCACAGGCCCATAAAACACAATGGTTTTCACTGCCACTCCCTAGATCCTTACATCTCTTTTCTCTTAAACTATTCTGGAGCCTGTTGAGGAAGTTCCAGAGAGCAGTTGATCCAGAGTCAGCCAACTGCACAAATGTCTGCACTACAGCAACATGAAGAGATATATCCGGGCTTGTCCAGCTCCTCAGAGAAAGGACGGCCTAGTCTGGCCTTTCCCATGCTGTAATAAAGGTTAGAAAGCAACGTCGCAAACTCTAGGAGTGAACAGGCTGGAAGCGCCCCGCATGGGTCCAGCAACCCCAAGCTCCCATCCTAAGAACCTACAGACCTCATGGGTTCCTGCCTGGCCTCTCCAAAGCAATCGTCTATCTCTTCACGCCCTAGGTGGCCACCGCCCTGACCCACCCCGCAGACACCAGCCGGCCCTGACCTCCTCGAACTGCTCGCCCGAGCAGCCGGCGCCGCGAGCCTCCAGCAGCTCCCGGAACTGCTCCAGGGTGACGGACTCTTCGCCGCGGCCCAGCCGCTCTTCCAGCCAGCGCAACAGTGCGCCGTGGTGCCTCGACACCAGGGACTCGCAGGGTGGTGTGGGCCGCAACGCAGCCGCAGCCTCTCGCAGCCTGGCGGGTTCCAGCAGCGCCGCGGCGGGCGGTAGAGCCGGAGCCGGGAGGCCCGGGCCGGGGGTCGTCCCCGAGTCCGCGGCCCAGTCCTGGTGCGGGCCCCAGCCTTCGACCCCGGCGGCTGCCGCTTCGTCTTCACTACTGTGACTCGTTACGTTCCCCATGGGGTCTCCGTCTTGGGCGCCGGGCTCTGCCGCCGCCGCCGCCGCCTCCCCGCCTCGACCTGTCAACCTCCGACAGCACCCGGCGGGCGGGGACGGGGAGGAGACGACGGCGGCGGCTGCGGCTTCCGGCTTCCTGGCCGTCAAGTGAGTACTGTTGTCGGAAAGGTGCCGTCAAGTGGCCTCTCCCAGCTCACGACAGCTAGGAGAGGACCGCGGCAGCAAAGGGAGGCACTCTGCTTTCCGAGAGGGCACGTTCTATCGTGACCTCTACGTCACCCTGCAGCCTCCATTATCGCCATCTTTGTTGGGGGCAGACGACCTACAAGCCAAAAGGGTCTGCGCTGCTGCTCCACGCTCTCGGCATCTCCTCGCGTTCACAAGCTGTGCTGAAAAAGTAAGAGAAAGAGTCGGAGTCAGAGAGTCAGCTTTTCGCCAGAGAGAGAGAGAGAAAGATAGAGAGCCGGAGACGCTGGTGACGTCACGGTCGGCGTCTCCCCCATCTTAGTTGTGGACAGAGAAGCGGCAACTTCGGAAGTGTGGCGGCGCCGTCTAAATGCTGGGGCCGGGCGGCCGCGGGCTCTTGCTGGGGCTGGCCGTAGCGGCAGCAGCGGTGATGGTAGCACGGCTGATGGGCTGGTGGGGTCCCCGCGCTGGCTCTCGCCTTTTCGTACCTGAGGAGCTGGCCCGCTACCGCGGCGGCCCTGGAGACCCGGGCCTCTACTTGGCGCTGCTCGGCCGCGTCTACGATGTGTCCTCCGGCCGGAGGCACTACGAGCCTGGGGCCCACTATAGCGGCTTCGCAGGTATCAGCGAGGCTGCGCTCGCCTTTTCCTCCGCTGGCGCGGGCCGGTAACCACCTGTGCGTCGTTTATTCATTCATTCGTCCATTCATCCAGTGTTCTCCCCCTACCCCGCACTCATCGGGCCAGCGGGACGGTAGGACTCAGCTGCACTGTCCTTCTGTTGTCCCTGGCTCGGGCAGGACCATGGCCAACTGTTATCTACCTCTACCCTCCCAGCCGTTCCCCACAGCTCTGCGTAACCTACTGTTAGGGTGGAAAACGTAGTAGGTGCTCACTCAGATTAAGATATATAAAAGTAAAATTTATTTTATCTTCCTAAAGGAAAGAGAGTGGGGGAGCAGGGAAAAGAGCAGGGGTTTTGCTGATTTTAAGGGGAAAGAAGAGGGGGAAATGTTATGGCTGTCAGTTGATAACAAAAGCGGCAGCAGGATGTCAAAGTCCAAGACTTGATTTCCTGCATTTCTTGGAGAAAAGATTATCACAGGAGATGTGACTCTGTCCTCGAGATATGGTTGAGTCCTTGAGCTCGTTCTCCTGCTGTTTACTCAGTAGCTCTGTAAAAGCAGATTCTCAAAAAAACAATTTTGAAAGAGAGATTTACATCTCTTTTTCTGTCCATTCAGCCGTTTTCAGCAGTTGTGCAAAACAGAACTCTTGCGGGGTACTTGTTAGAGAATTTACAGGATTGATCTTTAACTGTTACTGAAGAAATTGTGGGATTAGGTATTTTCCTGTTATTTTTGCAAGGCCACCCCTTTCACTAACTTGGAGAAACCTGTCTTCTACCTGTTAGTTACCCATTACCCACCATCACAAGCCTGGGACACCAGACTCCTGTGGGTTTCTCAGCGCACAGAAATGAATGATACCCTGGCCCTGCCCTCACAGTTACCCCGCTAATTCCAACCATCCCTTCATTATGCCCCAATCTGAAGTAACCTTTCTTTTCCCTCTCTACCCCAAGTTACCCCTAAAATATAGTACATTTGGTTTGAGTTGTTCTTGTTTCTAGTACAGATGTACCTACCTTTCTGAAAAAAGATGAGGTTAGAGCACAGGAAAGGAGACCAGTCACCTTTCCCGTCCTTCAGTACTTAGAGCAAAGCTGTGCATATATTAGGCCTCAAAGAACATTTATTAAATTAAGCTTGTTCTGCTGTCCCCATTTTACAGCTGAGGGTATTGAAGAATGTGATTTGCCTAAAGCCCTCGTAACTAAGTACTGGCAGGACATGGACCAGGACCACCACCCTAGTACTTTTAGAGTTGTTGCCTTGCTAGCCCCAGAGAATGACCACCTCCCAGATATATAAAAAGTAAAAAAAAAAAAAAAAATACAGGGCAAGCTTGAGGCCAGTGACTAGGCTGATATTAAATATACATTTTCTTCCACTTGTCATTTTCTTTGGGAAATTGGGAAGCTGCCTCTGGCACTTCAATCCAAGTCACTTCCCTTTCTCCAGGGAGAAATTCAGAAACAGAAGCATTCACAGAAAAGGAGTTAAGTCCTTAAGTTGGTCTTGCCAAGCCCCTGAAACAGTCCAGCAAGGGCAAGGACTTACCCAGGGCTACACTGTGAGTTAGAAATGGAGCTGGGACTGAAAACAAGGACTTTCGTACTTGCCAGTTGAGGGCACTTTTTGGTGCACTGTCCTGCCACATGCTGATGCAGCTGTCACACATGTTTACACAAGTGTGGACATAATGCCTTCCATTTCTGGGGTGGTTTATCTTTTGCAATGTGCTCTACTGCAGTGAGCATCTATTGACCACTACCATGTGTCCTACCTTGTGTTGGGTGCTAGGGAATCAGAGATGTCTGTAACATACACCCCATGACCCACACAGACTAGTAGGGAAGTAGATGTGTTCCTTTACTCATTAATTCAATCAGTAGTTTTATTTTTTATTGAGATATGATTCACATAATATAAAATCTGTCCTTTTATACAATTCAGTGGCTTTTAATACTGTCAGAAATTTGTGGAAACATCACCACTGTCTAGTTCCAGAACATTTTCATCACCCCAAAAAGAAACTCCAGATCACTTCTGATTCCTTCCTCCCTCTAATCCCTGGCAACCACTAGTTTCAATTTCTATAGATTTGCCTATTCTGGGCATTTTGTATAAATAGAATCATACGTGTGGCCTTTTGTGTCTGGCTTCTTATCACTTAACATAATGTTTTCAAGGTTTATCCATGGTGTATCAACATGTATCAATATTTTATTCCTTTTTATGGCCGAATAATACTCCATTATGTAGATACACCATATTTTATCTTTTTATGGGTTGGTGGACTCTGGTTTTTTTCCCACTTTTTGCCCATTATAAATAATGCTGCTATGAATATCTGTGTATATGTTTTTGAGTGAATATGTTTTCAGTTCTCTTGGGTATATACCTAGGAGTGGAATTCCTGGGCCATATAGTAACATGGTTAACTTTTGGGGAAACTGCCAAATTGTTTGTTTGTTCTTTCTTTCTTTCTTTTTTTAGAGACAAGGTCTCTGTTGCGTAGGATGGAGTGCAATGGTGTGATCATAGCTAACAGTAGCCTTAAACTTCTGGGCTCAAGCAATCCTCCTGCCTTGGTCTCCCAAAGTGCTGAGACTACAGGAATGGGTCACCAAGCCCAGCCTGCCAAATTGTTTTCTAAAGTTGTACGTTCCTGCCAGTAATGTATTAGAGTTCCAATTTCTCGCATCCTTACCAAAATTTATTAATGTGTTTGAAGTGATACAGATTGAATATCCCTAATCTGAAATTTTGAAGTCCAAAATGTTCCAAAATCTGAATCTTTTTAAGTGCCAACATGATGCTCAAAGGAAATGCTTATTGAAGCATTTTGGATTTTCAGATCAGGGATGCTCAACTGGTACATATGGTCTACTGAAAATAGTCCAAAATCCTAAACACTTCTGTTCCCAGACATTTCAGATAAGGGATGCTCAACTTGTCTCTCATTGTGGTTTTGATTGTTTGTATTTGTCTAATGCCTAATGATGTTGAGCATCTTTTCATGTGCTTGTTGACCATTTGTATGTCTTCTTTGGAGAAATGTCTGTTAAATCCTTTGCCTTTTTTTTTTTTTTTTTTGGAAGCAGAGTCTTGCTCTGTTACCCTGGGTAGAGTGCAGTGGCATCATTGTAGCTCACTGCAACCTCAAACTCCTAGGCTCAAGTGATCCTCTTGCCTCAGCCTCCCAAGTAGCTGGTACTACTGGCATGTGCCACGATGTCTAGCTAGCCTGGCTAATTTTTCTATTTTTAGTAGAGGCGAGTTCTTACTCTTGCTCAGGCTGGTCTTGAACAACTAAGTTCAAGCAATCCTTCTGTCTCGACCTCCCATAGTGCTAGGATTATAGGCATGAACCCAGCCCTTTGTCCATTGTTTAACTTGGTTGTCTTTTTGTTGTTGAGTTGTAAGAGTTCCTTATATATTCTGAATACTGGACCTTTATCAGATATTTGATTTGCACATATTTTCTCCCATTCTGTTGGTTATCTTTCCACTTTCTTGATTGGTCCTTTTAATGTCCAAAAGTTTTTAATTTTGATCAAGCCCAGTTTATCCATTTTTCATTTGATTGTTTGTGCTTTTGGTGCCCTAAGAAACCATTGCTGGCTGGGTGCAGTGGCTCACGCCTGTAATCCTAGCACTCTGGGAGGCCGAGGTGGGCAGATTGATCGAGGTCAGGAGTTTGAAACTAGCCTCAGCAAGACCCTGTCTCTACTATAAATAGAAAGAAATTAATTGGCCAACTAATATATATATATATAGAAAAAATTAGCCGGGCATGGTGGCACATGCCTGTAGTCCCAGCCACTCAGGAGGCTGAGGCAGAAGGATTGCTTGAGCCCAGGAGTTTGAGGTTGATGTGAGCTAGGCTGACGCCACAGCACTTACTCTAGCCTGGGCAACAAAGCAAGACTCTGTCTCAAAAAAAAAAAAGAAAAGAAAAAGAAACCATTGCCCAACCCAAGGTCATGGAGATTCATACCTGTGTTTTCATTTAAGCATTTTATAGTTTCAGCTGATACATTCAGGTCATTGATCTATTTAGAGTTAATTTTTGTGTATGGTGTGAGGTAGGGGTCCAATTCAGCTATTCAGTTGTCCCAGCACCGTTGTTGGAAAAGATTTTTCTTGCCATCATTGAATTGTCTTGGCATTCTTGTTGAAAAATCAATTGGCTGGAATAAACTGGCTGTAAATGTATCAATTTCATTCAGCCAATATTTATTGGGAATTTACTAAAAGATCAGGCACTGTACCAGACACTGGGGAATCAATAGTAAATGATTGTAGCAAGAGTAAATGGTGTGTTCTCCTCTCTGATAAAACTTACTAGTAGACATTCAATAGATATTACACAAACAAATTAGTTAGTTTTGTGACAAGTGTTAAGAGGAAAAAGTACTGGTATTACCAGAGGCCCTTGGGGAGAAGGAGAGAGAGGAAGGCAGCGCAGTGAACAATGAAGAAAGTGGCAAGGGAAGTTTGGTGGCAGCTGGTGCAGGGCACTGAATAACATGTTAAGGAATTCTAACATTATCATAAGGCAAAGGGAAGCCACTGAGAACTTTTTGGCAGGGAAATGACATGATCAATTTGTGTTTAAAATGCCAGTTAAGTGGTGTATGGAGAATAGATTAGTGGGGCAAGAATGAATTTGGGAAGATGTACTAGGGTAGATCTGTGGTAGTTCAGATGAGAGATGATGGCAGCCTGGGCTTGCTTAGTGGTAGGTGGAGACAGGCAGACTGATAGAAGAACTATTTAGGAAGGAAAGATAGGACTTGGAAACTAATTGGATGTGAGGTGTGAAGGAAGTGGCAAGAACTGCAGTTCTGGATTGAGCAACTGGCTGACATTTATTGAGATAGGGAATAGTAGAGTAGAAGCAAGTTTCTTGGGGATGGGGGTGCTAATGACCATTGTTAGTTCAGGGTGGACATTTTGAACTCATGGTGCGTGTAAGACATCTAAGTGATGTGGAATAGATAGTTGGATATGTAGGTCTGATGCTCAGGAGAAGTCTGAGCTAAAGATACAGATTTTGCTGTCTTTGGCATGTAGGTGGGATTTGAAACCACGGGAGTGGGGAAGATTGTCAGGTGAGAGGGTGTGGATGGTCAGTAATTGACCCCTTAGGCTAGTAGACCATGAGGAGCTGGAGAATTAGGAGGAAAACCAGGAGCGTAGTGTCATAGAAGCCAAAGGAAGTGTGTTAACTATTGCAGAAAGTAAATGAAAGAATGTGACAACTGCCTAGGTCCAGGAGTTTCTGCCACCAAGGAGGAAGGATCACGTATCCCTGGGGATGAGGAGTAGTGGTTGTTAGGAGATTTTTCTCAGAAAACAGATTCTTGAGTTGATACAATGTCGGTGATTTACAATATAATCTAGTGGAAACTTCTCTCCTGCAGGCCGAGATGCATCCAGAGCGTTTGTGACCGGGGACTACTCTGAAGCAGGCCTTGTGGATGATGTATCTGACTTGTCATTCTCTGAGATGCTGACACTTCACAACTGGCTTTCGTTCTATGAGAAGAATTATGTATTTGTTGGTAGGTAGTCCACAGGTCGTTTCCATAGATTTCATTTTGTTGTCTTGCAATTTTTTTTAAAGGGCCGGAATTCTTTAGGGATTCAGCTTAAGGTTAAAATCTGAAAAATAACTCTGGTTGTTAGTGTAACAGTGAGCCCCAGAAGGAGATGAATAGGGCACCTGTGTACCTCACTCTTAATCTTGGGAGAGGATTGCTAAGCCACTTGCTTTGGCCTTAGTTGTACCAAAGCCACTGGTTGCCTACCCATCCTTGATCAACCAGCTCCAGGAGGGCAGCTTCACTGTCTCACCGTGTTCCAGGCATCTGGCATCAGCCCAGAAGGCTTAAAACTTAAGTTTGTGTGCTATTTTGAAAAATCCCCTTTTATTTTGTCTTCTAAGGAGACAAACATCCTGAGTGAACAGTGTCCCAGGTGGTAGTTACACTAATCACACATTTGTTAAAGCCACTGTGTAGGGTACAAGGGCCTGCTACGTGTGATACTTGAGGGACTCGCCTCTTAAATGGGAAAACAGTGTCCTAAAGCATTATTAAAGACACTAGGGCTGGGCGCAGTGGCTCATGCCCATAATCCTAGCACTCTGGGAGGCTGAGGCAGGAGGACTGCTTGAGGTCAGGAGTTCAAGGTCAGCCTGAGCAAGAGCAAGAGCAAGACCCCTTCTCTACAAAAATAGAAAATATTAGCTGGGCAACTAAAATTATTTTTAAAAAATTAGCCAGGCATGGTGGTGCATGCCTATAGTCCCAGCTACCCAGGGGCTGAGGCAGGAGGATCATTGAGCCCAGAGTTTGAGGTTGCTGTGAATTAGGCTGACACCACAGCACTCTAGCCTGGGCAACAGAGTGAGACTATTGTCTCAAAAAAAAAAAAAGACACTAAACACTAGATTGCTTTGCAAGCACTGAAAACTGGGATGGTGGGCCCTTTTTTCCATCTCTCTGTAGCCCTCGCCTCTCACTGCAGCCCCACTTGGACGTGGCTAACTTCCTGGGGAACGCCATGTCATTCACCATTGGAACAGGTCTGAATTAGAATTCTTTTTTTCCCCTGTCTCCAATGCCTATGAGTGTCTGCTTCTGTCATTACTGCTTGGGTTACCTTTTCTGAGAACCTCAGCATTTTTACTAACACCTCTGCTTCCTCCACCCCACTGTTGGCCTTTATCATTCCAACCTGCAACACGCCTTTCTTTGTTTCCCTCAGTCTGCCCCAGATCATTCCTGAGACTACAACTGTGTCTGCCATCAAGACACTGACCTCTGCCCATCTGGGCTACAGAGGGCCAGGTTCTTCCTTTTCCCCACAAGATTGTCAAACCAAGGTTGAAATATTACTGGGTTAATAAAGAAAAGAAAACCCAACACAAAAGCAAAAGAATGGAGTCCTGTGAGTGGGCAAAGAATGTCAGACCAAACAGTTCCTACTGAGATCTGGGGAGCAAACTGGAAGTATTCCTGATGTGTTTGGTGAGACAAATGAACTTGTCTCATTTGAACAGTGGGTAATGTGTTGAGGATGGGGTGGACTTATGGTTGGAAATGCCTTAGAAGGATTTTAGTTAAAATCAGGATCTATTTGAATATCTGCTATTGTTGAGTTAGGGTTCTACTCATGGGGACCAGGGATGAATTGAGTACAGTTCCTGCCCTCTGTTGGCTCATTCTGTGCAATAGGGACTGTGTTACGCTCTTTTAGGTCACCAGAAACCCCCAGAACATGTCAGGGGGTGAAGGTTTATTGTCAGGGTGCACACCAAAGTAAGGACAGGAAGCCTTCTTGGCAGCCACATGGCCAGGCCTCAAGGGAAGACGAGATGGCTTTGTTGTTATGTGGTTACAGAATTGGCTGTAACCACAGCACAACCAGTCAGTGATGACCTTATGACACAGCTTCTAGAACTCTTTCGCTGTTGCCTCTACTACGACTGTCCTCTCTTTGGGTCTCGTGTCTAAAACTCACTAAGAGAGACTTATACAGAGCCCTGCTATAGCAGAAAATTCTGTGCCAGGCCAGCCTGTCTACTGCAGGCCTGTGACTAGGACCCTGATCCCTTCCTTTATCCATCTAACAAGTATTTACAATGAGTGCTCTGTGCTAAGCTGTTTTGAACACTGGGGCTCACAGTGGAGAGAGACATGTTATAAACAAGAAAACAGATCAGACAACTCTAGACAGGGCTGTGACGAAAACTGTGGCATGACGCATGCTTGGGGGAGTGTGGCAGCTTAGGGCAGATGGTCAGGTGAAGCTTCTTGGAGGAGATGACAGTTAAGACCTGGCAGGTGAGAAGGAGGTAGCCGTACTGAGACCTGAGAAAGAGTATTCCAGGCAAAGGGAAGAGTAGTGCCTAAGGTGGGGAGCAGCGAGGCATGGTCAAGAACTGGAAAGGAAACCAATGTGCGGGAGCCTGTAGTGAATGAGGGAGGAAGTGGCTTGACAAGGGGTTTAAGAGCAAACAGAAGCCGGGCGCGGTGGCTCACGCCTGTAATCCTAGCACTCTGGGAAGCCGAGGCGGGCGGATTGCTCGAGGTCAGGAGTTCGAAACCAGCCTGAGCAAGAGTGTGACCCCCGTCTCTACTATAAAAATAGAAAGAAATTAATTGGCCAGCTAATATATATAGAAAAACTTAGCCAAGCTAGGTGGCACATGCCTGTAGTCCCAGCTACTTGGGAGGCTGAGGCAGCAGGATTGTTTGAGCCCAGGAGTTTGAGGTTGCTTTGAGCTAGGCTGACGCATGGCACTCACTGTAGCCTGGGCAACAAAGCGAGACTCTGTCTCAAAAAAAAAAAAAAAAAGAGCAAACAGAAATCAAGTGGTTATAGGGCCTTAGAGGCGTTGATGATAAATTTTCATTTTATCCGTATACTTTAGGAAGCCATTGGAGGGTTTTAAATCAGGCATGGAAGTGACAAGATGCAATTCATGTCTTTAAAAGATCACCACAGCTGCTTTGTGGAGAAAGAACTGCAAGAAGGCGTGAGCTGAAGCAGAGAAGCCAGGTGGGAGGCTGTTGTAGTCCACAGTTCGGATTGGGGTGGTAGCCGTGGACATGGAGAGGATGAACAGAATCAAGATCTTTCTTAGAGGTAGGGCTGATGAGATTTGCTATGGGTCAGACATGAATGAAGGGAGGTGTACACATGGATGTGGAGGAGTCAGAGAGCTCCCAGACTCCCAATCTAGATAACAGAGGCCAGAGGTGACGTAGATTTGGGAAAGTTTGGGAGGGAGCTGGACTTAAGAGCATGAACTGAATCTTGGACACACTGAATGTCTTCGGGATGACAGAGTTTGGGCCCACATGGCTGGGGGCAGGTATACACTGCTACCTCCTACTTGGTCAAACCTCCCAGAAAAGCTTTCTGCAGTTTCTCTTGCCCTGTGACAGGTGCTGCGTGTGAAGGCTATTTGTACCTCAGGACTTGGATACATTAGGTCCCTGCACCTAAGAACTGATCCCTTTTGGTTCTGGCCTACAGGCTGATGGACCACGTGCCGGCTGCTGTCATAGTTTAGAATTTTAAAAATTCTGACAGGAATTTTTTTTTCCTATTTTTTTTTTTTTAAGAGATGGGGTCTCGCTCTTGCTCAGGCTGGTTTCGAACTCCTGACCTCAAGCAGTCCGCCCGCCTTGGCCTCCCAGAGTGCTAAGATTATAGGCATGAGCCACCGCACACGGCCTCTGACAGGCATTTTAAAGGAAAAGCAGTTTCCATACACTTGTGTCCACTGAATGACTGAGCCAGGAGAGAGCATGGGCTTGGAGCCAGATAACTTACAAGCTTAATAGACTTCCCTAAGTTGTTTACCCTCCTAACCTCTCTCTTATGAATATAGGAACAATGATGTTTCTCTCATAGGTGGTTACAAGGATTAAAAAATAATGGTGGCCAGGTGCGGTGGCTCACGCCTGTAATCCTAGCACTCTGGGAGGCCGAGGTGGGAGGATCGTTCAAGGTCAGCAGTTTGAAACCAGCCTGAGCAAGAGTGAGACTCCATTTTTACCAAAAATAGAAAGAAATTAATTGGCCAACTAAAAATATATAGAAAAAGTTAGCCGGGCATGGTGGCACATGCCTGTAATCCCAGCTACTCAGGAGGCTGAGGCAGGAGGATCACTTGAGCTTAGGAGCTTGAAGTTGCTGTGAGCTAGGCTGATGCCATGGCACTCTAGCCTGAGCATCAGAGTGAGACTCCATCTCAAAAAAAAAAAAGTAATAATAATGATGATAAAGTGCTAGCATGGTGCCTGACACTGAGCTCAATAAATGACTTATTTATAGTTATATAAGACAGAATAATTTGATGTTAGGAAGAATTAAGCCATAAACATGTTAGCCAATAAGCCATTCATTCATCATACATTTATTAAATACCTATTGTGTGCCCCAAGCACTGTGCAACATTGATAAATGATTCACACGTGGCTCTACTCTCAGGGAACCTCTGTCTGGAAGTTTGCATACTGGAGGACTCTTAAGCTAGAACAGGGATAGCAGCTACTGCCTGGGGTCTTGTAAGATGTTGAGAGAAGTTTGGATCGAAGGTACCGAAAGTCCCTTCAATATGAATTCTTAGTAAATGAACACCAGCAGACTAGTGTAGGGCCCTGAAGCCAGAAACCATGGAACTTGAGCTTTACTACAACTGCTTAAGAAGCTAAGCATCTGTTCATGCCTCACTCCCACTGTCTCTCTGACATCCATGTTCCTGTCACCACAGGGCAGGTGATAGGAAGGTTCTATGGAAAGGATGGACTGCCTACCCCAGAACTGAAGCAGGTAGAAGCCACGATCACCAAAGGCTTGGAGGCAAACAAACAGGAACTGAAGGAGAAGCAGAAGTTTCCACCGTGCAATGCTGAGTGGAGTGCAACCAGGGGCAGCCGGTTCTGGTGCTCCCAAGAGAGGTAAACAGGCTTCCCTTCTGCTCCTTCCCTCCTCTGTCCCAAATCAAACTTGCAGCTCATCATGTCTGCATTATTCAGTGAATCCAAGAATTGATTGTTAACCTAGAGGAACTTTTTCAGAAATACTCTGTGATAGATAATGATTCTGAACTTGGACTGCGTGTTCAATCTTCTGGGGCATTTTAAAAATTAGTGATGGTGGAACCTCTAGAAAAGTGAATGAGAATTAATAAGGTTGAGTCCTGGGCATCTTTTTTTTTTTCCCTCTCCCTCAAATTCCCCAGAGACCCTGCTGAGGAAACCCTGGCCTGGGAACGAGAAGGCACAAGTCCCATTTCTTGCTTGCTTTGGCCTGTTCAGCCATCCGTGGCCTCAGTTTCCTGTTTCTCAGCACAAACCATCCCTGCCTATGGGGGAAGGGTACATACAGTGATGCTGCCCCAGTGGGCTGTCTTAAAAACCCCGCAGATTCAAAGTAATTCCAGGCAGGTAAGGCTTATGGAAAAGTCTTTTCCTTGAAGAATGAAGTGAGGTGAGCCAGATTAGAAACGGTGCCATGGGGATTATTCCAGGTTGGTTTGGGAGGCTGGAGACTATTTTCCTGCTTCAATCATCAGACCAGCCCAGACTCAAATTTCAGCCTGAGTCCCTCGAACCCCCTTTAGCTCTGGTAAGGGGAAGAAGGAAGCCAGAAACTAGACAAACCTCCCAGTACTGGGCAAACCTCTCACCCTCCAGGGCCTCAAGGTGAGAGCTCAGCTCTCACTGAGGAGAGACAGGGAAATCTCCACTGTCGCTAAGAGGAGAAGGGCCATGTCTCTAAGTGCTGTATAGACCCATCCTTTTCCACAGGGAGAGGCTGACCCCGATGCTCTCCTTGAGGCTCATTTATTGTGGATGAGAGCAAACAGTCAAAACCACCAGCTTTCTCCAGGCCCAGCTACCGTGTCTCTCACACATTTCTTCTGCCTTAATTCAGGGGAGAAGGGCAAAAATAGCAGGAAGAAAAGCCCCTTCTTTCCTGGCCATCAGTTTTGAAGAGACTCAGCTTCTCCAGTGTCATTGTGTCTCAAAGAGGGCTTGTCAGCCAGGTGTGGTGGCTCACGCCTGTAATCCTAACACTCTGGAAGGCTGAGGCAGGCAGATCATTTGAACTCAGGAGTTCAAAACCAGCCTGACGAAACCCCGTCTCTACTAAAAATAGAAAGAAATTAGCTGGACAACTAAAAATATATAGAAAAAATTAGCCGGGCATGGTGGTGCATGCTTGTAATCCCAGCTACTCAGGAGGCTGAGCCAGGAGGATCACTTGAGCCCAGGAGTTTGAGGTTGCTGTGAGCTATGCTGATGCCACGGCACTCTAGCCTGAGCAACAGAGCGAGACTCTGTCTCAAAAATAAAAAATAGAAAGAGGCCCGTCTACCTTATGGGGAGGAGCTGGGACATAGGTGAACCTTCCTGGGACACAAGCATGCATGCAGGTGGCCCTAGGCCTGGTGCTCTGTAGGAGGCTACTAGGAGCCTGTGTGCACGCAGATGCTTAACTTGGCGCCCTTGGCCAGCCTGCCACCCTCACAGCCCTCCACTCTGATGGGCCCTTCTTGCTTTCATGACTGAGTTGTTGCTCTGTCCTCCCCACAAAGCCTTTTCACACCCACCCCCAATGAGCTTAGGGGCCCTATCCCTCTGCCTCAGCCCAGTCTCTTGTTTTCTATGTGTGTGTGTATCTATCTCCCATTAGACAGGAGCAATGAGCTTTAAAGGCAGGGACTAGGGCTGGAGTAGGATCACTCATAATGGGATGGATGGTGGGATGGAAGAGAGAGGCATTGTGGTGCCTTATCCTTGGTCAGCTAGAAGTGGGATGGTTTCTAACTGGGTGGCAGTTTCTCTGACGGCAGGTGTGATCCTGGTCCTAGTCACTGGAACCTATACAAAGCATCGATTCTAAGAGCCTCATTCTCCTTTTGCAATGCCTGTGAGTCCATGAGAGACTGAACTCAGTATCCTAGAATGAGTTAGGTCCCTCCTGTAGCATAGGAGGTTGCTCAGGCTTTGTTGGGCCAGAGCTGAATCCTGCCTCTCTGAAGCCTGGTGACATCAAGGACTGGACCTGTGTAGGGGACAGGACAGCTTGCAACTACACCCTGTGCCCTGGACCTCCCAGAGAAGACCCAGCTGGCCAAGGCCCAATGGGCTCTAAGTGGTTAGTTACCTCAATTGCCCTGTTCCCCTCAAGTGCCTCAGACCCTAATATCAAGACACACCCTGTGCTAGGATGTCATGGGGAAGGGAGAAGGGACAGGGACTCAGACTCAGACACCGCCTCGGATAAGCTCACAGGCCAGTGGGGGAAACCCTTCAAAACCATTAGCACAATGCAGGGAAGTGGTGCTGCTTCTGGAAAGGGACAGGGCAGGGGTCCAGGAGCACAGTGAAGGTAACCACGGACTCTTCCCTTGGGCTGAAGGTGGTGGTGCTGGTGCCGTTGGGGGAAGGTGGAGGAAGGCAGGACAGAACACGAAGGCTCGGGGGCTGCACACTGCAGACAGCTGCCGTGGGAAAATACCAAGCTAGGAAGAGGAATGCTTATACTTTTTGTAAGGCCTGGCTCACTACTTCCTCCTCTCCCCTTCCGGGTGAGACTCATGAGCTCACGCTTTTAAGAAGTCCTCTTTCCTTCTGTCCTTAGTGGAGGTGTGAGCAGAGACTGGATTGGTGTCCCCAGGAAGCTGTATAAGCCAGGTGCCAAGGAGCCCCACTGCGTGTGCGTGAGAACAACTGGCCCCCCTAGTGACCACATGCCGGACAGCCCCCCGCACAGAAATCGAGGAGACTTGGACCACCCCAGCTTGGGGGAATACACAGGCTGCCCACCTCTAGCCATCACCTGCTCCTTCCCACTCTAAGCTGGCACCCTACGTGTTGATAACACACAAAAAGGCCTGCCTAGAACTCGAGTAGGCCCTAGGATGGCTCCTGGCATGAAACAGGAGGGTCTAGAAGGACTCCGGCCATGCTCTGCAAATATGGCTCACACCCCCTCACCATGGGCTCGCCGTGCTGGTGACTGAGGGAGAGCTTGCAACCTGCCCAGTACTGGTCAGCCTGTTTTCACCACTATTGTCCCGTATCTACTTGCCGTCTTCCTTCAGAGCCCTCAGAAGGAAGACGGGCACAGCTATGGCCAACTCAAAATAACTGGAGAAACAAAGAAAAAGTCTCTGAGCTCCAGCAGCTGCCTTCCCATGGACTGGATCAGCTGCCAGCATGGGCCCTGCCCGTAACTCCAACCCCATCAGGGCATCTGGAGCACGAGCAGAAAGGCGCTGCATCGTTCCCTCACGACTCTTAGCAGAAACAAGCGGACACATCCCCACATTAGCAGCCTCAATATAACTGTTCTGGAGCTAAACTTGTGACCCCTGACTTTTATGACCTTTCTGGTAAGTAAGGCCTCTACCCTAAGGCAAACTTGAAATTACAACCAAAAGGCTCACTGAGTTGATTCCAGGTGGGCCAGTACAACGAGATATGATCATAAATCCGGATAGGCTCATCCTGGAAATGAAAAGCTTTTGCTTATATGGGTGCAACAAATCCACGTGTCTCAGCAAAGCAACAATTTAAAGCAAAGACTTTTCTTTAAACCCTAAAATCAGATGTGTGTTTTCAAATGGAGAAGTCTGCATTTTGAGCAAAGGTAGTTTCGTAGCTCTAGGAGGTGCCTGGTTAGCATAACATCAAGGTTTTTTTTAAAACAGGTCTTGCTGTTCCCCAGGCTGGTCTTGAACCCCTGGGCTGAAGGGATCCTCAGGTGTGAGCCACCGTACCCTGCTCATTACCTCTTGACTTCTTAACTTGTTAAGAGATGGCAGGAAGGAGAGTTCCCACTTCGCAGACTGAAGCGAAGACTGGTGGGACGACAGGGTCTTGGCTTCTCATCTGAGCCTTCACCTCAACTCCCTTTCCCACTCTCCTCAACACCTATTCTGAACATTCGCTACCCTTCCTCCTTTCTTTCTCATCATTAATCTCACTATGGAGCTTTCCAGATTTACTGACTGGAAAATGGAGACTGCCTCCCCTTCACTGGCGGACTCCAGGCTCCCTGCCCTGTGACCACAGCTGTCCCTGACTCCCAGGCTCTGGCTGGCAACTTCTTTTGCCACACCAGGATCCTCCTCACCTGCCCCTTCCGTACCTTTAACCCCTCCCTGCCTGCTGGCTCTTTCCCCAAAGTGTGTGCTAAGCAGCTCACTTCTCGTGCATCATAAGTAAAACACTCTCCCTCAACCCCCGCTGTCTGTAACAACCGTATCCACTTCCTATCCCAGCCAAGCTTTCTGAAAAATCGGCTTAGACTCCCTGGCTGGGGTTTCGGCCCCGTTCACTGTGCAGCAGACAGCTGCCTCCCCTCCTCGACAGCAGGGTGGATTCTGTGTTGGCAGCTCCCACAGCCACACTCAGTTCTTATCTACCTTATTGTCTCCGTGGCGCTTGACACTGCCAACCATGATGTCCTTCGTGAAACCTCCACTAGGCCTTGTTCGGCTCCCCCTTTTATCCTTCTGGCCATTCCTTCTCAGTCTCCTTGAAAGCCCCCTTGCCGCCGTGAACCCCTTCCCATAATGCTCTTCTCCAAATTCAGCTCCCACTTCAGCTGCCACACCTGTGTCTCTACTGCCAGCTGCTTTCCAGAGCACTTCTATAGGCGCACCGCACGCTCTCCATTTTTGGCATCCAATCTTCATCTTCCCTCCTGTGTTTCTTCTAGTTCTCCAAGTGAATGGCATGACCATCTACACTCAATGCACCAAGTGAGAATCCCAGCGATCATCCACAACCCCTTTCTGTTCTCCCAGCCCATCTCCTTAATTTTACCTCCTTAATTCTCTCCTCTCCATTCCCTCTCGTCTGTTCCTAGCACTCTGGTGCTAGGAACCAGAGTTTAGGCTCATTTCTCACTTGGGTCACTACAGGAGTCTAACTGCAGCCCCTCCAGTCCATCCCCACACTGCTGTAAGTCACCTTTCTTGACCAGGGCATTTCCCATTTAAACCTCCCCAGTGGCTCCCCGTATCTTATACGTTGGACCAGGTGCCAACTCTTCAACTACTTGGCACAGGCTGTTCTTTGGTCCGTCACCCCCACATGCACCCTCCTCTCCAGCCTTTTCTCACTACAGGGTCTTGACACAAGCTGTTTCTTCTCCCTGGAATGACACCTCTTCCTCCACTCAATTAGTCCTTCTCTTATTTCTTCAATATTCATCAATCAGTCCTCTCTTGGGAGCCTTACACTTTCCCTAGGTTCCTGTAGCTCTGTGCTCACTCCTAAAAGAACTTACATCCCAGTGGCTTCAAGCATGAATTCCCCATCAGCCTCTCCCAGTGGACCTCAGACTCTGAGGACAGAGATTCATATCCACAGTGTCCAGCGTGTGGTAAGTGCAGTTAGCTCTTAGTTTTGGAGAGGAGACAACTGAGGCCCATAGAACTTAACCACTTCGATATCGTGCTCACCGGCCGCGAAACCTTGCCCACAGCCGGCACTCATAGTCCGCACGAGAGTTCGTGCTGTGCATCAACGACAAATCCGTTTTGCTCTTGTGTGATGAGGAAAGCTTGAAAGCACTGAAAGCTTGTTTTACTTTACAGGCAGCTTTACTTGTAATGTAAATCAGAATAGGTAACATATACATGTATGTTTTCATTGCATTATTTTTAAATGTTTACAATTTTATTTTGATAAATGAAAAATTAGAAAAGTCATATCACGGCTGTCAGCTAAAGTTGCTGCGTGTTTATCTGCAGCTATCAACTATAGTCAATGCTGGGCTGTGCACGTTCATCTCTGGCTATCGACTACAGTCTACGTTCGTACCGAAGTGGTTAAAGTCACAGAGCAATGGAGCCGAGCCTAGAACTTGAGGTTCTTGACTCCCAATTCAGTGCTATTTTCACTCCTCTGTATTTACATGTCTCTGCCCTCCCTGGAGCAGGGACAGACAGAAAGGAGAGCTGAAATTAGGATCTTGTTTTGAGTTCCAGACAGCTCTTGAGCTCAGTTTCTGAGGCTTCTTTCTGTTAATCAGAAATAGCCCTCAGCTGCAGGCTAACTGGAGACTAGTCGTTGCCACTGCTCTGGCCCTCCTCTAGGAGCAAAATATTCAACAAATAACTTCTATGTGCCAAGCATCATGTTGGGGTGGGGAATGGGTAGTGAGGCTCCTGATCTCCAGGGGCTTACAGTAAGTACGGTGGAGGAAGCCCCTGGTTAGGGCACCCAGAGGCCCATTCTTGGGGTAGCAATGCAGGGATAGTATGAGGGCCAGGTCCAGTGATGTTCAGACCCTTCCTAAAACCAAAAAGGAACAAAACAAGACACACTCAGTCATTTCAGCCAGGTGTGGGCTCTGGTCATGCGTAGATCTCTGATTGATGCCAAGACCTCTGACCCTTTGTTCCAAAAGGATCTCAGCTGCCTCGGGAGCCTGAGCCTTGCTCAGTAAGAATTCATTTCCTCCTCAATGCTGGCCACCTACCTTTTGGTAAAGAGCGTCCCTCATGTCAGGGCAAAGGATTCATTCAGCAAGAATAGATTGTCAGTGTAATGGTCCAAAGGGCTCAGCCATGAGAACCTGGTAATTGCTGAAGAAATGCCTCTCCGTTCCCTCTCCAGGAGAGGTGGCCCTGGGCAAAAGTGTGGAGGAGCAGGGCAGCTCTGCCTGATAGAGGCCGCGAAAGTTCAGCACAGGCTAAGCATGAGGTTAGACTTGCTGGCAAAGGGAAATGGAGAAGAAAATGCAAGGTGCTTTGTTCTCATTTAATCTCTATGCTAACCGTGAGAAGTTCCCACTTTATGGCCCAGAAAAGGGGCATAAATGTCCCCTCACCTCTTCAAATAGTTACAGCACCCGTCATGTGACAGAGCTGAGTTTTCTTACCCAGGTCTGATCTCCCTGCCACACCAGCGAGCTCGGTGTTAAAGCACAGGCTGGGCAGCTGCCCTCCAGCATATTGAAGGAAATCTCAACACCTGCCTTTTAATTCTGGGATTCCAGTTTTCTAGAAACACAGACTAGTGAAGATCCTGGGGATGGTTTGGTCACAGCTCAGCCACAACATAACTGCACCACGAAGAGAGCTTTACCAGACTGCTGCCTGGTCTTGTGCGTGCTTTGCTCTGGAGCAAAGCTGTGCTCTGGAAGCTGGCCCGGGGGCAGGTTGCGACTGCCTGCTCAGAAGTCTGCAGGTGCTCCTCAGAGGACGACGACCCTGGGCAGAACCCCACCCTTCGGAGCACGTTCTAATGACTCTTCCAAGTGGGTGGCAGACATTGCTGCCATCAGCCCTCATCAGAGGGGCCCTGGGTGTGCACACCAGAATCTGGGTGCTTGGGTGAGAGGAAGGACATGTTACTGACTACTGATTACCTTCCTCCAGGCAACCCTGTGAGCTAGGAAGGACAATGTCACCCCTACTGTATAGATAGGGGAGACTAAGGCATAGAATTATGAAACTTGCCCAGTAGTAACAGCCAATGAAAAAGCAGAACAAAAACCCAGCGCTCTTCCCTGGCTGGTTAAAAACGTGAAAGTTAATGTAAGCCTGGTTACTGTTTGTGCTACACATAGCATGACCAGTGCCAGATTGGTTAACACTGCTCGCCTCAAGGGTGGCTACTGGGATTACTTGGAATTGTTGTGGAACCTCTTAACAGTACCCATTGACTATGAGAGAAAAGCCACCAGAGAATAAACAAAATGGAAGCCAGGTAAAGAGAGAATGTTATTTCAAGGAAGTGTGAGGGCCAAGTGAGCTGCTAGATTTGTATGATTTGTACAGGGACTTTATGGATCATTGGATTTTAATTTGTAAGACCCTAAACTTTCTCTAGTATTACGTAAAGCCCACAGTGCCAGTCCTCTCTTCATACTTCTGCCAGCAGGAAGCTCACGAGGGATCCTCTTGAGTTGCTCCTGAAAAATGGAGTCGGGAAGGGAATTCCAGGCTCCTCTGGAGAACTTGAGTGGGGCCAGGTGACTGAGCTGGTGCATCTGTGATCACACATGTTGCCAAGAGCACAGTAAGTTCAAGTAGCTACTCAGTTTGCCTAAAATAGCCTACTTTTTGACTGCTGTCAACAGTGTATTTCTGAAAAATGTTGGAATTCAAACTTTCCTAGAGGGTAGGCTGGAAACGAAATTTATTCACATGTCAGGAGTTTTTTAACTTGTTTTTAATGCTTATTGGTACCTCTGCATTAGAAGTAACTACAAATGTCTTATTAAAGTTTCCACTTTAAATGCACAATTTTACTTCATTTTATTATAAGGAACTGTTACAGAAAATGCAAATATCAGTATTTGAAAAATACATTCCATTACACGGACTCCAAAGAAACAATGCTGATAAGCGCCATGGTCCTTTATGATGCCATCAAACCCACACTGAGCACCACCCCAGTGGTTTGGAAGCCAAGGTGATCAACCCAAATGTGTGCCTGCAGTTTCTGCCCAGCTACTGCCCTTCCCTTGGTAACACAGAGGAATGTCCTGGTAACAGCCAACTCACACATCTGCCAAAAAAGGGCAAGTCGTTAAGTTGAGCAGTCCCAACTCAAGACTCCCTAGCTGCAAAAAACCAATGTCACCAGTTGTAACAGGTTAATATATTATTTATGCCACACAAAAAAGGAACTGTACAGGTAATGATCTTCCAAAGAAAGTCTTTAAGGCATCTATAACTTCTGGGAATTTTAAGTGTTTAGTTGATGTCAGACTGTTAGCTCTTCACTAAGTTACTTCCATTAAGTGAGAATGTGACTTCCAAATCCCTTTGGCAAGTTGTTTCCCCTCCACCTCCTCCTCTCCCGGCTGGGAGTGAGAAGCTTTGGTGTTTCAGGTAGTTCTTCAGGGACTTGTCCTGAGGGAAGCAAGTGTGTCTGTCATGAAAGCATTACATTTACTTGTTCATGCTACTGTCACTTGGGAAGTTAGTTTGCCTTTCAGGTCTAAGCATTACATAGTTCAGAAGTGTTCTTTTTCTCTGGATAAAGGAAACTTAGATGAAGTTCAAGGCTCTCCCCTCTCCCAAGACTTTCCCTCCCCTCCATGCCTATAGACAAGATTAGTGTCGCAATGGTTCGATGCAACAGGTTGGGGCATCAATTGGGAAGAGTGGTAACACCACATGCACACTGAGCTCCACGCAGGGGCCCATTCAGGGAGAAGACTGAAGAAGCTGAACAGGGTGGTCAGAAATGACTCAGGGCTCTGAGGTAGAGGACTAAAGGTCACGTGGACCCCACTCCTTGGAGAGAATGTGGCAGGTGAACTGAGCAATCTAATCCAGCCTCAACTAAATTTGTAATTAGGGTTGACAGTGCACAGGCACAGAACTCCAAATGGAACACATGTTCTAATACGTCATTCAGACACCTCTAAAGAGACAACTGAAAGTTAAAAAGTCCTAAGTGTAGGCACTTAAGTTTGTGGGAAATTTCTGTGTTAGAGGATCATAGCAAATTAGTTTAAGTCATTCAATTTATAATATATATAACACATGGTTTGTACCTTTATCTTAAAAGCAAAAAAGAAGACTGTTGAGAATACACTGTATGATACATCTGGTGATGACAGGCAGTTAAAAAGCTAATTCAGCATAACAAGGTTGACTGATACAGCAAATTAGGTTTCAGTAAAGTTTATTCTTCCTGCTCTACTCATTCACAATTGGCAACTTTCTGAATGAATAAAATTAAATTTTTCCTATTAGTACTTAAACTATAGATTAAAATTTAACAAGAACTGCTAGGCAGTTTTGTATTCAAGTCTTGACAGCATGGAGAGCACAAAAGGGACTCAGAGCATGCCTCGCCCTGGCCAGGGCAGTGTGTGTTAGAGTCCTACTAGGGCAGCTACCACTCGAAGAACCTGTTGAGTGTGGCCCAGTGAACATTAGCGTGGTCAGGGAGATTTCCCAAGATTGGAAAGATGATTCTTCTATATCTACATGAATGCACCCTGAAGATAATGTAGAACTAAAAACCTGCACCCCCAATCCACGGCTGGTCAGTACCACTGTTATCCCTGGACTCTGTGAAGAAATAGAAGCTTGAATCAACATATTTTAAACATGATCTTAAGATTTGAGAGCAATTACAGGTAAGACTGTGATTAAAATTGGTATGGTAGGCAAGGGCAGAACAATCAGCCTCGTCCCTGATTGAATTCCCATCCTCCCCTCTCAGCTATGAATGTTAAAAGAACAAGTATCGATGTATTGACCACCTCAATTCATATCTGAACCATGATTATCTTACTTTCTAATTAAAGAATCAAGCTACCTTACTAAGCCCTGCTTCCTTGTGGCCCTTTTCAGGCAATAGAAAATGGACACTGACCACATGCCTCACATGGTCAAATGTTTGCCAAGACTCGTTGGATTTTTCTATAAAAATTCTATATGAAATATGTCACAGACTAGGGGACAGGGGAACTCTTCTAATTAAGTTTTTCTTTTAAACATTGTGCACAAGCTCATATTAACGTAGAAGCATATATATCTTATAAATCACAGAAGTATTAAAAAAAAAAAGTAGCACTCCGGTTTATCAGCTCATGTTACACACATATGTAGGCAGTAGAATGTATAAATCTACAGCAACAGAGAGGACTTACCACTATCCAAAAAATAAAACAAACAAACAAAAAAACAGAATGTTGCAAAAAAATATTTAGTCCCTTTTACACATATATCCATACTTCATTAATGCAAAAAATGTAGTGGTTATTAAAATGTTTGGAAAAATCAGTATGTTATGATTGAGATTGTTAATCTCTGAGTATAACTGTGTAACACATATTGTTCATCTCAGAGTTGTTTTTTAAAAAGCAGTGGTAAAAGTTTCTCTTTAAATGTGCATTTTTAAAAAACTGGCCAAACCTTCAAAAAGAAAAGAAGTTTAACACCTCAAGGTTAACGTGTACTAGCAGCGACTAAGGCCCCGTGACTTCTGGAGGCCTCATTCAGCACGCAGGCCAGAGCCTTCCAGGATGGGGCTGCACTCACTTGGCCAGGGCCTTTGGCTATTGGCCCCTATGGAGTAGGGCAAGCTACACAGAAATGGGGCCAATGGCACTCACAGCGTGACGAGGAAAAGGTTTCAGCACAAAGGTTGCTGTCAAGGAGATAGGACCTCCTGAGGCTGGAGATGCCCGGGGGCTGTTATCAGATGGCCTGCATGACTCGTTGCTCTAAAAGACACTGTAGTTTTTCCTTTAAGATTAGTGTGAGCTGAGGTCCAGTCATAGCTGATCATTAGAATCACTGATGCAAGGATGTGTTAGGGTATTTTTGAATATGGACTTTTAAATTGGAATCACCAATAATGCAGCTATATAAAAAGTGCAGCACAATAAAAGTGCATTTTCCCCACCACTCTCTAGTGGCAGAGTGACTGAGGACTCCACAGACAGGACGCAGCAAGACGAGAGAATGAGACGGCTGCTAGGAGGTGTCAAGCTGCCAAACTGCACTCCTGACACCTCAGTAGCATGAACACTGGTAAAGCTTTCAGTTGTTAAGGCCACGATTTTTCAGCTCTCATCTTTGAACCCTGTTTAGAAAGATTTCACCTTTTTAAAAGGGGTAGCTCACTAAAAACACAGCTTAGCCTAAAAAAAAAGACTTCAGGGCAAGAGGACCCTATTATCTTTATGAAAAAGCTGTGCGGAAAAGCACACAGCCACTTCCCCTAGAGTAAAGCCAGCTCTCGGTAAGCAGCCAGCTTCCTACTCTGTGAGGCTCTGCTTCGTAAGTCAGCCCAGGCAGGAAGACTTCACAAATGCTCTGAGATGGACACTAAACTACTGAAAGGGAAAATGGTTCTCAAAGTGTCCTTGTATGTTGTTAGCAGAATGGGGTCTAATTCCTAATCACATTTACCACTTCGGCTAAATGGCCTGTTCCAATTAGGGAGACACCTAGTGAAATCGATCACAGTCTGACACACACAATCATATGGAATCATTTGAAATGGGATCTATCACATCATGGTCCTTAATTGTTCCAGTCTATTGCTGCAGGAAGACGACCGCCAGCTCCTGCTCTGGTGGGGGCAGGCTGGTGAGCAGAGCAGCTGCTGGGGAGGTGCCTGGGGATGTGGCCTGGACCCTCCTGGGGGCTCACTAAGAGACCCCACCCAGAGTCAGTACATCAAAGCAAATGTTGCAAACTCGCACAGGCTTGTTCAGGTCAAACTTTATAATAGGAATCTCCTTGGTCGAGCATTTATGGCAAAGAAGACGTCCGCAGTGACGACTGTGAAAGCAAAGAAAGGAACGATGAGAGGAATACTAAAGAGCAGGTGGCTTCCTGGCATCTGAGTACAGCCACAATAGTGCCCTGGGCCGGCAAGGCCAGCCTGTGACTAGTACTCTATGGTCAACTCTGCCACCACCTGCCAACCAAGTTACAATAATTCATGTATAGCTTTTAGTCCATTAAAACAAAATTCTAGCCAATAATTAAAGTGATACTGAAGAAGGCCTTTTCTTTTTAAAAGGTCCAGAGCAGCTCAGCACTAGCAAAGGAACTGTCTTGCTTTAATGGGAACAGCTCCTTGGATCTCGGCAGAGCAGCCTGTCCTCAGGCACACTGAGGACAGTAACTCATCTCAGCTTTGCTGGAAGCTGGAGACCCAGGGAAGATGACACAAGGCCTAACAGGCTGCCTCGGAGCTGTGCGCCCTCGGCTTCCACCAGGAGAGCCACCAGTCCGTGTGCTTCTTGCATATCTATTCCTCAGTAGGACCCTTGGGTCTGCTCAGTCCTGTCATTTCACCCCTCCATTTGGTCAAGGTTTGCCCAGAAGACTGCAGGGCCCTGGCAGGCTCATGGCTTATCGTAGAAAAGGGGAGAAGCAATAACACGAGCAGAAGTCCCCTCACTCCTCTGGCAAGTGCTGATGGGGGTCTTACCAGTGATGTTTGCGAGTTGTGACTCCAAACTTGGCAGTGCACTCGTAGCAGTTGGAGCCGTCACACCACGGAGGCTCCTTAGACAGCATATCTGTAAGACACGCAGGGTAAGACTAGTTCCTGTCAGAGACTGTGCCAGGCATAACTCGGAGTTTAGAAGGAGCAGGGAAACAGACCAGCCAATACAGCAGCACACTGCGGCGTGCCATGAGGATGAAGGAGCAATATATTCTAACTGGCTCAGGAAAAGCTTCACAGACAAGACCATGGAGAATCAGTATTTGCTAGACTGACTGGGGGGAAAGGCAATAGTGTTAAGGTCGTGCAGTGTCTGTGGGGGAAGTACATGCAGTCGGGGAGGGCTGGGTAGGGTAAGGGATGGTGGGGAGGGAGCAGAGACCACACAGCTAGAAATGCTGGCCAGGGACAAATGGTAAGGGCAACATAGAGGATGGACCAAAACAAGGCACACTGAGGAAGCAGAATGTGTCAGATTTGGTGACTGAACAGAAGTGTGGGATATGAGAAGGTGGCAGGGAGCAGGAGTGAGACAAAGGCTTCTGGATGGAGTGCCTCAGTCTGTGGTGAGACCACCGGCAGAGAACAG